ACACAGCAGTCATTTTCTCAGTATAAAGTAAAGCTACAACTGAGCTGGCATTGAAGATCTTTAACAAAGATGCAAAGCAGCTGGCCAGAAATGTTTTTTTCTCTCCATTTTCTATTGTACCTCTCAGTACCTTAAGAATCCTTGAGGCTGGGCATGATGACTCATGCCTATAATCTCAGCACTTTTGGAGGCCAAGGCCGGAGGATCACTTGAGCTCAGGAGTTTGAGACCAGCCTAGGCAACATAGTGAGACTCCCATCTCTACAAAAATTTTAAAAATTAGCCAGGCATGGTGGCATGCACCTGTGGTCTCAGCTACTCAGGGACGTTAAGGCAGGAGGATTGCTTGAGCCTGGGAAGTCAAGGCTGCAGAGTCATGATTGCACCACTGTTCTCTAGACTGGCAACCTGGGCAACAAGAAGAGAGACCCTATCTAAAAAATAAATAAATAAAAAATAAAAATAAAAAATCCTTGAGGATTGGTTATGAGCCAACAAAATGGGAGCATATGGTAGAGTCTCAACACTCTGACCCTAGTCCGTCGCATAGGCAGTCAGAAAATGAGATCATGACGTCTCTAAGAGCAGCTGATGAAAAAGGAAATGGGAATGTAGATTTCTATCAGCAGCCCTCCAGACCCAGAGTTTGTTCCTCTGTAGTGTCTTTAGGTGGAGAATAAGGACATGCTTTGCCATTCTGGAGTGCAAATATCTGGCTGTTTGCAGCTTCACAGTAAGACTTCTTGAAATGTACTTCGTAATACCTGTGTGTCACTTTGCCAGGTGATGGCTGGAGAGGATTTTAGCAGGTTTTAGTCTCATTTAAGCTAATCTAACACTGCTGAGAAAGGAAGAGATGTGTTTGGTTTTACTTTCAGATATATACCTCTTAGCTGGGTGCAGTGGCTCATGCCTGTAATCCCAGCAATTTGGGAGGCCGAGACAGGCGGATCACTTGAGGCCAGGAGTTTGAGACAAGCCTGGCCAACATGGCGAAACCCGATCTCTACTAAAAATACAAAAATTAGCCAGCGTCGTGGAGCACACCTGTAATCCCAGGTACTTGGGAGGCAGAGACAGAATCACTTGAACTGAGGAGGCGGAGGTTGCAGTGAGCCAAGATCCTGCCACTGCACTATGCACTATAGCCTGGGTGCAGAGTAAGACCCTGTCTCAAAAAAGAGAGATATATAGATCTCTCTCTCTCTCTCCCTCTCTCTCTCTCTATATATATATATATACACACACACACCTCTTTTTTTTTTTTTTTTTTAGCGACAGAGTCTCATTCTGTTGCCCAGGCTGAAGTGCAATGGCACAATCTTGGCCCACTGCAATCTCCGCCTCCTGGGTTCTAGCAATTCTCCTGCCTCAGCCTCCCGAGTAACTGGGACTACAGTTGCATGCTGCTATGCCCGGATGATTTTTTGTATTTTAGATGAGACGGGTTTTACTGTGTTGCCCAAGCTGGTATCGAACTCCTGAGCTCAGGCAGTCCACCCACCTCAGCCTCCCAAAGTGCTAGGAATATAGGCATGAGCCACTGTGCCTGGCCTATGTGGTACCTCTTCAGCAGCCAGACCTAGTTCATCAGACACAAGGCCTTCATGATACCTTTGCTTGAGAAGCTTAACAACTCAATAAATCAAATGATGAATAAAAATTCTAATGTATGAAAATACTCTAATAGATAATAGATTAAGAATGGACATCCGCTGAAGGTGATTGCATCATCCTACCCATTCATTAATCTAACTCCCTACAGGTTACTTCCCTAGGAGATATTGACAAGTCTCTGTTTTGTCAAATACAGAGAAAGGCAGCAATGGGGAGGGGTGCAGTGTATGTATGTATGTCATACCTATGCTTGGTATATATGAGTTGCCTGCATATGATAGCAGCTGGGGAATCAAATCATAAATTGTTCTCAGACAGGTTTGTCCTATGACTACCTATTCTTATTAAATAATCAGCTATATTGACCATTTTTGGTTTTGAAAAAATAGTAATTTTTTTAAGAGAGAAAAAAATTGGCTACCCATCAACAGTGATGTTAGAACCATTTCACATTCTTTAGCTTATGTCTAACCATGTGCAGGTTTAGAAAAGGGTTTGCCTGAGACTGTGAGAATAAGAAATCATTGCCTTTGTAACACATGATGTAAAAGTAATCTCCAAGTTGACATGCTGATAGGGACTCCTGGCAAGGGGAATTACCTACCCTCAACAAAAGGTCATTCGCAGCTACTGGAACATTTTTGTTGTCTGTGGAGTATAAGGTGCCTTAGAAATACCTGAATCCATTAATGCCTCCAAGTGATTAAATCAGAATTTGCAGGTGACTGAGATTGACAGTAGTGCCTTATTCTGGTGGCTGCTGTTCACTGTTCAAATGACAACCCACATGTTTTATGGATGAGGTATATAAATGTATGCTGTAACAGCAGTATCTCCCTCCAGAGCTACTGTGTACCAAGCACCAGGTCCCCCAGGGATAGTTGGCTCTATTCAGTATTTCATTCATTCAACAAGAGCTTACTAAGCTCCTTTTTGGTACCAGATACTCTTTGGTGCTGATAGTAAATAAAAGGCCAGCAAGATTAAGCAAACTCTAAGGCCTACACCAGGAATTTGATAACAGAAAGTACTGTCGTATATAGTTTCTGGTGTGTAGTGACGATTCTCTATGAAAGCTTAGTCTTTCAGGAGATTAAAATGGATGGTGAACTACTTCTACCTAGCAAGCAAGCAGGGTGAAATGAGTGACTATTTGACTGCCACCTGCTGATGCTGGTCTTTTTTGGTGCCTAGGGCTTATAATGATCAACATTTCTTGAGCCCTCACTATATTCTCTGCTAAGCTCTTTACATGTATGAATTTACTTAATCTTCACAAGCACCCCAAGAAGTAGATACTGTTGTCCCTACTTTACAGATGAGGAAATGGAAGCACAAAATTAAGGACCTTGCTGAAGGTCATGGAGTAGAGGCAAGATTCAAATTTAGGGAACTCAGCCCGGAATCCATGCTCTTAAAGGTGTTATATACTGTCTCTGGGCTTAGAAGGGGTTCATCTTAGGCCGGGTGTGGTGGCTCATGTCTGTAGTCCCAGCACTTCGGGAGGCTGAAGCAGGCGGATCACAAGGTCAGGACTTCGAGACCAGCCTGGCCAACATAGTAAAACCCCGTCTGTATGAAAAATACAAAAATTAACTCGGCATCGTGGCACATGCCTGTAGTCCCAGCTCAGAAGGCTGAGGCAGGAAAATCACTTGAACCTGGGATGCGGAGGTTGTGGTGAGCTGAGATTGCACTACTGCACTCCAGCCTGGGCAACAGAGCGAGACTCTGGAAAAAAATGATAAAGAAGAAGGGATTCATCTTGACTGACCTGAATTGGTAGAGTTTGATAGAGTGGTCCTTCCTGGATCCTTCCCTGCCTACAGAGCCTGTCTTTTTTCTGATTGGTCCCTAAGGCTAGACTGCCTGTCCCTAATAGTGAGCAGAAGCTGGTGAATGAAACGAGATCCCTTAGGAAAAAAAAAAAAAAGAGAGAGAGAGAGAAATGAAACGAGATTCCTTCTCTACAGCCCAGCTGTGCCCTTCACCACCTGGGTGACCCCACTGTTCTGAACATATATCCTCATCTGTAAAGTGGAGATAAGATTACTTCATTGGATCATTTAGAGGATTAAATAAGATAATGTACTTAGTGGTTTCTGGCTCTGAGTACGTGCATAATAAATACAAGCAATTTTTATTATCATTGTCCTTAGCCTTGAAAACAAGCCAGGAAATAGTTTCTCAGAGACCAGATGCTAAGTAAGACCTAGGTAGACAGGCAGTTTTCCCTTGGTTTTGACAAGACAATAATTTTATCCTATGTATTTCTCTTGACTTTTTTGATGTGAAAAGCAGAGAGGTAAAGCATTATTTGACAGATGTATGGATTCAAGCAAGAAACTGAGGTCCAATTGCAAAGAAATGGCTTGTATAACTCAGAGCCCTGTCTGAGGAGACACAGAGGACCCTAGAGGGCGGAGAATGAACACAGCGCAGGGGCTAGTTCCAGAGTCGCATTCTCGGTTAGTTCACTTTCAAGTGTGGGTGAGGGTCCCTTGTCAGTAGGCAGATTTTTTTTTCCCCTGCATCAACACGTTATTTGCTGGCTAGTGTTTATTAAATGAAACTTTAATGTGCAATAGAATTTATGATTTGTCCAAAATGGAGAGAGAAGGGAGCTCCTTAACAGACTTGTTGAGCCCCTTTTCCCACCCGTTCCTGTGCCAGACTTTCCCAAAGGCTTACTTGCCAATGGTTGCTTCTCAGATTGCAGGGCTAGCTCACTCTGTAAGCTCCAAGCCAGAGTGATACTGCCACCACCGCTGTTGCTCCCACCAACCATTCAGTTTCCTGCTCTAAGGATGTAACTTTGCTGTGAAGCTTTCACCTTCCTCCTTTCTTCCTGTCTTCTGTGTTGTATGTCTTTGTCCTGGTGCTTTTGCCATACAGCCAGTGTTTGAAAGGAAATTTTCGGCACCAAAGTTATAGCCCTTACTACCTTTCCAAGGAGATGTGAGTTAGCCATGGAAAAGAAGAGGGCTCCTCTGCCTCTGTGCAGAAGGAAGAGTTTGCTTCTTGATAGTGTGCTAGCTCCTGAGCTAAGTGGGGGACATGCCAGGACTCAAGAGAGTGCACCTGACCTCTGGACAAGTAGACTGGGCATAGCCTGCCCAAGAACAGCACCTAATCTACAAGAACCAAGGCCGAAGACTGATTTCACCTTCTCGCACTCCCCTTCCCTTGCACTCCCTTAAGCTTGCTCTGCAACACTGCCCCAGGTCTGTGGCTTAAAACAGCCATTTCCTTTCACCAGTGAATAAGCTCACTCTTTATAAAAATGTTTCAGCTTGGGGATTGGAAAGGCTCTCTGTGCCTTTCCATCTCTTATCTATTTCTTCAAGGGTTGATGTTGATGGTTTCTGTCTTTGTCTTTACAGGGAACTCTAATGATCCAAGACAAAGAAGTTACCCTCGAGTATGTACCAAGCCTGGATTTTTGGTACTGCAAACGAGTAAGTACCAAGAATTCCTTTCTTCAGAAGTAAGCATCCGGAATAACACCTCCTCCATATCTCTAGGAAGGCTGCCTGCTAACATGCATTCCCAAGGACAAAGCTCTTCTTCCTCAGCTCAATTCAGTTAAACAGGAAGAGGTCAAGGCAAGGTCATTCATAATTTCTCCTTCCCAGCTGTTACATCTGACCATAGAGGGTTCTGGACCTGCAATTGGAGATACTTTCTCAAGGACATGTGCCATGATTTCTGTCAGTTATAAAAATAACAGTTCCTTGACATATACTGTTTTCTCATCTCTCCTGAGGGTGGTCATAAAGGAATTCTTATTTGGAAAAGTACGTTTGGAGAGACTAGTTCTGTGGGAGTTGTACATTTTTTGGATATTTTTTCTATCTCCATGGATTTGCCTGTTCTGGATATTTCATATAAATGAAATTAAAATATGTAACCTTTTGTGTTGTTGGCCTTTCACTAGCATGTTTTCAGAGTCCACGTGTGTTGTAGTATTTATCAGTACCTCATTTCTTTTTATGGCTAAATAATATATCACATTTTGTTCATTAGTTGATGGACATTTGGGTTGTATCTGCCTCTTGACTTTAGTGAATGATAGAACCTTTGTGTGCTAGTTTTTGTTTGAACAGCTGTTTTCAATTATTTGGGGGTATGTATCCAGGAGTGGAATTGCTGGGTTATATGGTACTTTTATATTTAACTCTTTGAGGAACCACCAAACTGTTTTCCTTTTATTATTATTATTAGCAAACTTTTTCATAGACCACAGCTGCACTATTTTATATTCCTATCACCAATATGTAAGGGCTTCTTTCTCCCCCTCCTTGCCAACATTTATTATTTTTCCTTTTTTTGATAATAGCCATCTTAGTGGGTATGAAAAATATCTCATTGTGGTTTTGATTTGCATTTCCCTAATGACTTTGAGGATCTTTTCATGTGTTCATTGGCCATTTGTATATCTCTTTTTGAGAAATGTTCAACCAAGTGCTTTGCCCTTTGGAAGTGGTTTCTGTGTCTTTTTGTTGAGTTGTAAGAGTACTTTATATTTTCTGGATATTAATCCCTTATCAGACATATGATTTGTAAATATTTTCTATGTGTTAACTTTCACTTTCTTGAGAGTATCCTTTTTTAAAAAAAAAAGAGAGAGAGAGTGTTAAGGTCAGCCAGGTGTGGCTCATGACTATAATCCCAACACTTTGGGAAGCAGAAGTGGGCAGATCACTTGAGCCCAGGAGTTTGAGACCAACACGGCAAAACCCATCTCTGTGGTGGTGCATTGCCTGTAGTCCTTGCTACTCAGGAGGCTGAGGTGAGAGGATCACCTGAGTCCAGGAGCTCGAGGCAGCAGTGACCCATGATAGTGCCACTGTACTTCAGTATTCCAGCCTGGGTGACAGAGGAAGACTTTGTCGCAAAAAAAAAAATTTTTTTTAAGTTTATTATATACCTATTAAGTAATTAAAACAAATGTTAACAGTGGTATTATTTATAATAGCCAAAAAATGGAAATAACCAAAATGTCCATTAGCTGATGAATGGATGAACAAAATTAGCATATCCATACAATGAAATGGTTTTTGACAGTGAAAAGGAATGCAGTACTGAATCATGTTACAAGCCAGATGAACCTTGAAACTACTATGCCAGACACAAAAAAGCATACATTGCACAATTCCATGTCCCTAGGGGTAAGAATGAGAGGTGACTTCACTAGATTTCCTTTGGGGTGATGAAAATGTTTCAAAATTAGATGGTGGTGATGGTTGCGCTATACATTTACTAAAAATCGTTGACTCGTACATGTAAAATAGGTAAGTTTTATGGGTTTTGTTTTTGTTTTTAAGACAGAATCTTGCTTTGTCACCCAGGATGGAGTGCAGTGGCACAATCTTGGCTCACTACAACCTTCAACTCCACCTCCACCTCCTGGGTTCAAGCAATTCTCATGTCTCAGCCTCCTGAGTAGCGAGATGGGGTTTCTGCATGTCAGCCGTGCTGGTGTTGAACTCCTGGCTTCAAATGATCCAACCGCCTTGGCCTCCCAAAGTGCTAGGATTACAGGCATACGCCATCATGCCAGACCTGTTTTATGGTATTTAAATTATACATACTAAGGTTAGGATCCTAATTGCGCCACTCACTAGCTGAAGTGTCACACACTTCATTCATTCACATGTAGATATTCAGTTGTCCCAGCACCATTTGTTGAGAGACTATTCTTTCCCCATAGGCACTTTCCCCATTATCAAAAATCAGTTGACCATAATCTATAGGTTTATTTCTAGATTCTCAGTTTTATTCTGTTGATCTATATGTTTACACACAGCAGTAGTTACTATAGCAGCTCCCCTGTGGTAACAACCCTCAAATCCCAGTGGCTTAAAACAATAAACATATTCTTCACTCACATTACATGTCAGGGACTATGGGTTGTTTGCTACAGTTCTGTTCCACATGGTTTCTCATCCCAGCACCCAGGCAGAAGAAACAGTCTCAATATGGGACAGTGTTCTTCTGGCTAAGGGAGAAGTTCATTCACATAAGCATTGGCTTCTAAAGCTTTTCTTAGACCTGGTGTAGGTCATGTTGACTCACGTTCTATTGGCGAAAGCAAAGAAGACACATGGCCAAGGATGACAATGGAGAAAGGAAGTGTACTCGCCCTATAGGGAGGCATGACAGCCTTTGGTAGTGGGGAGGGTATGTGTGTATTTGTGTGTAATCGGCTTATAGTGAAGGGAACAATGAAATAACTGATTATAGTGATCTTATTCAAGTGATTTAACCTTTCTAGGCCTCAGATTCCTCATCTACAAAATGAGGAGATAGTAGTACCCATTTTCATGGAGTTAATTGGGGTTGCCAGGATCAATAAGTGATGACATATATAGTAGACCAGATACATGGTATGTGCTATTTAAGAATTAGCCACTACTGGCCGTGTGCGGTGGCTCACGCCTGTAATCCCAGCACTTTGGGAGCCTGAGAGGTGGCCAGATCACCTGAGGTCAGGAGTTTGAGACCAGCCTGACGGGAGAAACCCCGCCTCTACTAAAAATACAAAATTAACCAGGCGTGGTGGTGCATGCCTGTAATCCCGGCTACTCGGGAGACTGAGACAGGAGAATCACTCGAACCTGGGAAGTGGAGGTTCTGGTGAGCCAAGTTCATGCCATTGCACTCCAGCCTGGGAAACGAGCAAAACTCCGTCTCAAAAAAAAAATTAGCCACTGCTACTGTTGTTATTGTTTTCTCCTCGACTCCATGGTTCTTATTCTGGTTTCCCGCCAGCCAAGTTTCTGTCCCTCGTGGCATTTGGAAGGTCAGTGACAAAAGTTCAAAGTTTCAGGGTTGAGCAGTGTGCTTGACTATTTGTTCACATGTGCAGGCAAGAATAATTATATTCACATTAAAAATCTCTTCCCAGCTGGGCATGGTGGCTCATGCCTCTAATCCCAGCATTTTGGGAGACTGAGGCGGGTGGATTGCCTGAGCTCAGGAGTTAGAGACCAGCCTGGGCAACATGGTGAAACCCTGTCTCTACTAAAATACAAAAAATTAGCCAGGTATGGCAGCGTGTACCTTTAGTCCCAGCTACTCGGGAGGCTGAGGCAGGAGAATTACTTGAACCTGGGAGGCAGAGATTGCAGTGAACCGTGATCACGCGCCACACTGTACTCCAGCCTTGGCAACAGCGAGACTCTCTCCAAAATTTAAAAAAAATTTTAAAGATTGTCTCTTCCCTTATTCTGGGCTAGTGAATGTTCCCTTTCAGTATCTTTTAGATAGCTGCCAGAGACATAACCTGCATCTCTTCCTCCTACCTCATGCCTCATTATTAGTGTTTAAGAAAGGAGTTGATGGCCGGGTGCAGTGGCTCACACCTGTAATCCCAGCACTTTGGGAGGCTGAGGCAAGTGGATCATGAAATCAGGAGTTCAAGACCAGCCTGGCCAACAAGTGAAACCGTGTCTCTATAAAAAAATAATAATAAAAAAAAATTAAAAAGGAGTTGATAATTGAATTCTTGTCAGTTCTAGCCAACTGTGAATGAGGATCTCACAACCAATCCAGGCCCAGGTTTTGGGTGCAGACTGTAAATGGCCTTGGGATAATAATATTCTATAAACCATTTAACAGTAGTTTTCTAGGCATATTTCCTATAGTAATCTTTATCCAGGGCAAAAGCATTTGGGCTGCACCAAAGTCCCAGGTGCCTGTTAGAAGGTAGCTCGCAAACAGTAGCTCATCAGATCCTGTCTGCCAGATCTGATCAGTGGGGAATATCAGTTTCTTTTTTTAAGCTTTGAGTGGATCTGGGATATGGCTTCTTTCATTTTTAGGAGGTTTTACTTTGTTAGATGTACATAGGTTTTTAAAAATGTTTTCTGTCAAATTCAATTATTTCCTCCTTCCTTCCAGTGTAAGGCAAGCGTTGGTGGGCACCGATCTTCCTGTTCATTCTGCAAGAACCCAAGGGAAGGTGAGTGGCAGAAGTGGTAGCAGTTTTTATCTTGTGCATTGAGCAAAACAAATTTTTTAATTTTTTTTTTGAGACAGAGTCTCGCTCTGTTGCCAGTCTATCCTGGGTTCAAGTGATTCTCCTGCCTCAGCTTCCTGAGTAGCTGGGACTACAGGCACACACCACCACACCCAGCTGATTTTTGTATTTCTAGTAGAAACAGGGTTTCACCATGTTGGCCTGGATGGTCTCAATTTCTTGACCTCATGATCCACTCACCTCCACCTCCCAAAGTCCTGGGATTACAGGCGTGAGCCACTGTGCCTGGTGAGCAAAACAAATTTCATGCTTTCCTTGGCTTTAAAGAATTATCATCCCTAAATCCAAGTTGATCTACAAATCCTTTTTTTTTTTCCCAGACAGAGTCTCGCTTTGTCACCCAGGCTGGATTGTAGTGACGCGGTCTTGGCTCATTGTAACCTCTGCCTCCCAGGTTCAAGCAATTCCCCTGCCTCAGCCTCATGAGTAGCTGGGATTACAGGCACATGCCACCATGCCCAGCTAATATTTTTGTATTTTTAGTAGAGATGTGGTTTCACCATGGTGGTCAGGGTGGTCTTGAACTCCTGATTCATGATCTGACCACCTCACCCTCGCAAAGTGCTAGGATTACAGGCATGAGCCACTGCACCTGGCCTACAAACCTTTTAAAAGTGCAGTTTGGGCTGGGCACAGTGGCTAATGCCTGTAATCTCATCACTTTGGGAGGCCGAGGCAGGTGGATCACCTGAAGTCAAGAGTTCGATGGCCGGGCGCGGTGGCTCACGCCTGTAATCCCAGCACTTTGGGAGGCCGAGGCGGGTGGATCAAGAGGTCAAGAGATCGAGACCATCCTGGTCAAAATGGTGAAACCCTGTCTCTACTAAAACTACAAAAAATTAGCTGGGCA